CTTATGCTCTCTCAATGTTTGTAGCACTACTGAAAGATGGTGTTCATGTACCCCTTGTGTCTGTGAATAGATTAATATGTCATCAATAAACACGATGACAAACTGATCTAGATACGACCGAAATATCCTATTCATCAAATCCATAAAGGCTACAGGAGCATTAGTCAGTTCGAATGGCATTAAAGTATATTCAAAATGACCATATTAGGTATGAAAAGCTATCTTAGGAATATCCTCCTCCTTGATTCAAAATTGATGGTACCTAGTGCGAGGATCAATCTTTAAGTAATACTTAGAACCCCTCAGCTGATCAAATAAATCATCAATTCGTGGAAATGGATATTTATTCTTCACTGTCACTCAGTTCAACCTTCGGTAGTACATGCATAACTGAAGTGTTTCGTCATGCTTCTTCACAAAGAGGATTGGGGCTCCCCAAGGTGAAATGCTTAAACGGATAAATCCAATAGTCAATAGTTGGTCTAACTGCTTCCTTAGCTCTTTTAACTTCAAATATGCCATCTTATAGGGAGCAATGGATATGAGTTCAATTCCCAGATAGAGATTTATCGTAAACTCAATCTCTCTCGGTGGGGGTAACTCGGGTAGTTCATCTGAAAAGACATCTGGAAACTTCGACACTATCAATACCACATTCGATTGGAATTTATCACGATCATCACCCATTAACCTGGCTAAGAAACTCAAATTGCTCCCCGCTTTAGCTTTTAAGAATCTACTACCCATAGTAGAAAATGGGTGAAAAGAATTCTGATCATTGATGAAACTGAAAACTATCCCCATCCGATAATTGGAATGAACTCCGCTTACGAAAACAATCCATTGCCGTACGAAAAGTGGACAACAAGTTCATCCCAAATATTATGTCATACCCCTTCATGTCTAATGCAACCAAATCTATGATTAATTCTTGCTCCCCAATTCGCAGCACACAACCTCTACACACCCTTCTAGTTTCCAACTGTTCTCCCTTAGGCATGTCAATACTCAAGGCATGTTTTAACTTCTCAAAGTCCAATCCCAAATTAAGTGCATATGTAATGTGTATGAATGAATGAGTAGCCCTGGGGTCAAATATAATTCGGGCCCAAGAATTATAAAGAAGAATGATACCTACCACAACTGCATTTGACACGTCTTCCTCCGGTTGGGTCAAAGCATACACTTTCCCTTAATTAGCACCGCCAGGTGCTATAGCTCCTAACGGTCTTTGATATAGTGTCTTTGGTAATGGTGGCTGATGTGCATTAACCTGTCCAACCGTCAGAGTGTTCTTTTGGGGTGGAAAGATCGGACAATGATTCCAAATATACTCCAAATGTCTACATGCAAAACAGGCTCGTGGGTCCACTCATTCCCTCTCTTGTAAGCCTTCAACTCCACAAGCTGTCTAAAGTCTCTGTCCAACCACTTGGTCTAGGTGACGGTATGGTGCTGCCCTCTACACTCCACTACTGTTAGCACCAGTCCTGATCGAACCTCCCCTCATAAAGTTTTGTTGCCAATGGGTGTCATCGGTGTCTCTCTCCACCAGTGCAGCTCTGTCAACTAAATTCCCATAGTCCTAGATCTTGTGAGCCACAAGCTTCTTCCTGATGGCAGGCCTTAAGCCCTGCTCAAAGTGTTTGGCCTTCTTGGTCTTGGTAGATATGAACTCTGTGGCATAGCAGGATAGCTCATCAAAATTCCTCTCATAATCCACCACCATTATGCTACCCTATTGTAGAGCGAGAAAATATGCACTCATCTTGTCCCTGGCCAATTCAGAAAAATACTTATCTTAGAAGATCTAATCAAACTCCTCCTAGGTAAGAGCATCAGTGTTCCTCCTTCTCTTTACCGAGTCCCACCAATGATCTACCTCTCCCTCTAGCAAATATTTAGCTAGGTCGAACCGCAAATCCTCAGCTACTCCTATGCCATCGCACATTTTCTTCATTCGGTGAATCCATTTATCCGCATCCAAGGGGTGAGAGCTTCTTTGGAAAGTAGGTGGGCGTTGCCCTAAAAATTCTCGAAGAACTACTATTCTTCCATTTTTGTCTCCGTTGCCCGGTACATGAGCTAATAGATGAACCCCCTCGGTTGTGGTTGTTGTTTCCATTCTGGTGTTGCACCAGAGTAGTTAGTTCCTTTAGGCATTGGTATATTCCATTCATGGCATCTAGAGGTGGTGGTGGTGGGTTCGCTTGGCCACCACGTCCTCGTCCACGTCCACATATACCATCCATCCTGCACATCAATTCACAATTTAGATTTCTTGATGTACAAGACATCCTAACTATCACTTTAATCTAAAGTATAAGGCTTGTATAAAATTTAAATCAACAATTTTGTTCAACCTAATCCTACCTCTCTAGTAGTAATTCATAACCTACAACTCCCATGTAAGACCTAGTTCCTAGACTCTGATACCAAACCTATAACACCCCAAAATCCCCCTTGGACAACATTACTATTTAAATCCATTCACATAACTAGAGCAACTAATAAGATCCATAAATAAAGAAAATTTCATTCATTATCCATAATATCTACAACATCATCCATAAGAATATGCCAAACCATGACCATTACATCTAAAAGAATATGCCAAAATATTATCTCGCTGCAAAATAAGGAAATATTAACATGAAAATTATCTCAAAATGAATCTCCTAGTCTAGAACATAAAAAAAATAATTCTAGACATCCCCCCGGGATCCACGCTTCAATCCAATTGAGTTTTCCAAGCTACCTGCTCATCAACTCCGAGCTCTTCCTCTAAAGCAAAATCTGAAAATAAATATTATTTGTAAGGGGTGAGCAATAAGCTCTATAGAAAAATCCTCCCAAACTCGTACAAGGTTTTGAAAACTTATAAAATAAGTCGGTCTCGTTTCACAAATATCATATGCAACTTTTGAAAGAAAACCGTAACAGTTCATCCGATCTCAAGTTTACACAATATCTATATATAGAATGAAGAAGTAAAATCAATCCCAACAATAAGCCAATTTCAACCATAAACCATTTCCTACACGTTCTTGTAATAAACCATTTTCACAACAATAAACAATAACCCACAATTTGTACCATTACCCACAATGTATCTTAGGTATGATGTATGATATCACATGAATAAACACATCGAGAATATCCTAGCCCACACACACACATATCCAATCCTTGCATGTATACACAACTTTAGGAAGGGCGTATACTGATGCATCGACAGTGACGAATCCAACCTAAGAATAGTATACTAACCCTCAGACTCGATACCACGCGAGTAATTAGTAGTTTGGTCCTCGCAAGACACCAACCCTACTATGAGTGGTAGGAAACCTTCAAACCTACACAGAGTAAAAAATGCATCTATCCACTCTACGATACCCGGTCAACGGCAACCCATGTTCACGCAAACATCCACACAAGAGATAGAATACCAACCAATTTCTCAAATCACAAGTAAATCCAAAATCCCCAATTCCATAGGTATTTTTCCAACGGAACAATCCAAGAAAATATACAATAGATCATCAAATATATAATTTTTAGTGTTCAAACAAAGCATTAGAGTTTTGGAAATGAAGAACAAAGGAATATCAAGAAGAAAAATCCATATTTCTCAAAAAACTAGGTTTTGACATCAAAAACACGAATTTTCATGGATATCAAACCATATCTTCCCTCAAATATGATAAGATTTACAAGAACATCAAAAAACAAGGATTTCATAACATATATCTAAGATTTAGAGTCAAAGCATATATATATATATATATATCAACCCTAGCGTCAATGAACAAGAGTGAGAAGAAACCCCTACCTTTCTTCCTTAGCTTTTGTGTGAGAACTAGAAGATTTAATCTTTTCAACTTGAATCAACACTTTAATCTCTCGTGTTTCCCCTTCTTTATTTCTCTCTAAGCCTCTCTAGGGTTAGAAATGTTGAAATGGGGCTAATGGAGGTGTCCTTATGTATTTATAGGAGGGAAAATGGTCCCCTGTGCACGAATCTAAAACTCAGAATTCGTAACTCACGTTCGAATGTCAGTAGTGCAATTTCCTGCTTCATGTTCGAACATCATTTTGGCGTTTGAATGTTGGTTGCTCCTAGAATTTTTAATTTTTCATCAGAGTTCTATCAGACACAAAAATACTGCAACAAACTGTCGTTCGAACGTACATTCACGTTCGAATAGACTCCCAACTTTTGCTGAAACTTTCAATGACGTTTTGTCTTATGTAGAGATTGAATTAGAAAATTTTCGTGAAATACACTTTTTTAGCCCTGGAAGTTTAGCATCTACTGCAAAAATGTTAGATCAAACGGGCATTAGGGTAAAAACTTATGGTCCAAATACTAAAACAGCCTCAAAATTTCTTTCTACCCAAAATCTATCAAAATTGTGTCTTAACTCTGGAACACTTCCTAACTTCAACTTTTACAACCTATATATAGTTCATGCTTCCCTCATTACATATATAAGCATTTCAAAATCATTACATTATTATATAAAGACAAGAATGCGGGGGTATACAGCTTAGCAGTGGCATGGCGTAGAAGACAGTCGAGTAGGATGACAATAAGAGCACCACGAGCATGAAGAGTGAACATAGAATGTTCAGTTGGATTAGAATGGAATGCGTGATTAAAAATATGATGACTAAAACATTCAAACCAAGAATGTGGAGCTTGACATAAGTCGTGGAACACTTTTTTAAGGGCAATAAACATGCTGTAGACAAGTAGAGTGAATATATCCAAAAGGATGTGACACATAAACCTCCTCCTTGTTATTGCGATATTAAATATGATTTGGTGGTAATTGCTTTGACGATGGGTGTGAAAGTTTTGTTGAAATCAATACCATGAACTTGAGAGTATCCCTTGGTGACAAGCTAAGCTTTATGATGGTCAATGTTGTTGGATAGTTGAAATTTCATCTTGAAGACCCACTTTTGTGAGAATGACGTGCAATTCGGGATGACAGGAACCAACGCCAGTGTGATTACGATCGACTGCATCCAACTTTTCCTCCATGGCAATATGCCAAGGAGGAATTTTGTAACATGGCGATGCCAGTAGTGGGTTCATCATATGTACCTAATGCTGCAAAGAAGGAAGAATGTAGAGGAGAATCAGCTGATAAGGCAACAGAATCAAGGGCATGAGGTGAATGGTGGGCCCATGGTTTTTGAAAATTGACCGTTATGGCGCGTAACGACCATTATGTAATAGTAACAACATGCTTTGATTCTGTTACGGTCTGATATAACGGGAAGAATGAAATTGATAGCCGTAATGGCCGTTATGGTTCTGTAACACTAGTAACGCCCGTTTTGACCCGTTACAACCCGAAAAATTGATTTGAGTATAAAACCCAAATTTTAGCCCGAAACATTTTAGCCCCAAATTCAACCAACTTCTCTCATCTTCCATCCTCCACTCAAAGAGTCAAATACATGTTTAGATCTAGAAAATCTTTCAAATAAAAACTTAAAGACAAACCTGTTATCATAATCATTAGATCTGTGCTCTTTCCAAAAAATTTCTAGATCTTCCAAAATTTTTTGCCCCTCCTCGAAAGATTTGAACTCAAAAACTTGACCAGTGATCAGATCTATGCTTTCTTCTGGTCTGTGTGGTCGCTGCTTGCTTTTAAAGATCGAAGACGATCAAAGAAGATGAGTCGGTCTCTTCTCTTAGTAAATCCCACCTCCTCTTTCTTTTTTTTTTTTTTGGTTTTTGTGGATATCATGACTAACTTCACTAACTTGCCTACTTGTATCTCCACTTCAGTTCAGCCACTGCCTTAAGCTTTTTTTTTTCTTTTTACTTTTTAATGATGTAGAGTTTGTGGCTATAATAACAATAACTGCACTAACTTGTCCACTTGTCTCTCCACTTTAGTTCAACCACCGCCTTTACTTTTTTTTTTTTTTTACTTTTTAATAATGTAGTGTTGTCTTATCTCTTTAGATCTTTAGATATTATAAATTTATAATAGTGTGTTTGAGATATATTTTTGGTCAAATAAAACATGTGTTTATTTAAATTATTTAAATAGAGTTTATTAATTTTTTTAATGGAGTTTATATGGGTATCACAATTAAGGGTGTCAATCGTGTCGTGTTCATGTCAAGAGTCAAGACCCACAAAATTATTTTTTTTATGTGTTTTAAGTATTAAACATTAGTCTAGATTATTTATTATGTGTATTTAATAATCGTGTCAATTTTGTAATCGTTTGTATCGGGTTTGTATCAACAGGTCAGAGTTGACACACAATTAACTAATTTTAGTATAGACACTAATCATTTGAATGAATGTTTTGTGGGTCCATAATTCATTAATTATTTTAAATAAAGATTGTGTGTCACTGTGTGTCTTATCATTCACTAATTTTAGTTGGAGTAGATAAAACATACAGGTGGTAGAATAAATAACTATAAATTAATATTTTAATCCATTTAATATACTGATTTATTATTCCTATATGACGTATACTTTTTTTTTTGTGATAGAATTGAAAATGCCTCGACATGGCCCCGAAGAAGGTTCACAAAGCAATCCTAGTCATGATATCGGTTGAAAAATTGCGACAATGGCTACTAATAGACATGACACAGTATGTATGTTTTTTTAAAAAAAACCATTAAAGGTGGTATTACACGAGTGAAAGAATATTTGGCAGGAAAAAGAGGCAATGTAACACCATACCACGACATGCCACGAGAAGTCAGGGAACATATGATGAAACATCTTCAAGAAAGTAAAGATAAGAGAAAAGATAAACAAAAGAGGAAGGAAGAACTGAAATTCCATATGAAGGAGATCGTGCTTGGGTATCCTAGGTATGTGGACTTGGGTTATGATTCAAATTCTGATTTAGAGATGGTGTTCGCCAGAAGAGAAAGTGCGACACAATATCAATTTCAAGAAAGTCACAGACGTAGAAGTGTACATGTGCCACAGAATAAAATGGGAGGTAGTTTTGGAGGTGAGGGTAGTTTTAGAGGTAGAGATAGAGGTAGGTTAAGACAATCCCATTCAGTTCGTGAGCAGGATGGTGATGGCAGTGCTCGACATTGAATTAATTATGATACTCCTGAATCTAGATTAAAGGAAATGGATCCTAATCTTCTGAGAAATAAAAGTTTTAAGCAGCAGAAGATTAGAAGGGAATGGTTAGGAGATATGTTTTACAAATTCATGTTATATAACCATTTGCCTTTTCATGTAGCAGAGTCTCCTTGGACTCAACCAATGCTTGACGTTGCTGTTGAAGTAAGAAAAGGAGTTAAAGGTCCTAATTTTTATGAGGTATTTGAGATATATTTGAATAAAGAAGTCAATGTAATGAAGGAGTGGATAAAGTCTTTTCGGCCTGCATGGAAAGAGAGGGGAGTTACTATCATGTGTGATGGATGGACTGGTCAAACACGAGATCACATCATCAACTTCTTGATATATTGTAATAAGGGTACAATTTTTCATAAGTTTGTTGATGCATCTAATGTGGCAAGTAGGACTGCAAATTACTATTTTCGTTTGTTAGATATGGTTGTTGAAGAGATTGGACAAGAATATGTTGTTCAGATAGTGATTGATAATGAAGCAACTCTTAAGGCTGCTGGAAATAAGTTGATGGAGAAAAGACCATATTTGTATTGAACAGTGTGTGCAGAACATTATATTGATCTTATACCAGAGGACATTTCAAAAAAAAAAAAAAATCTGTTGCAAAGGTCCTAGATGATGCAAAGTCTATCACAAGCTTCATTTATAATTATCCAACGGTATACCATTTGATGAAAAAAATATACAAATGGTAAAGAATTGTTAGGCCCTTCAATTACCAGATTTGCCACAAATTTCATTGCACTTGAGAGCATTATTAGGCAGAAAGATAACTTAAAGGCTTTGTTCACTTTTGATGACTATAAGGAGACTAGTTTTGGGAAGATGAAAATCGGTCCTCCTAGTGATGTGAAATTTTGATTATGGGCAAAGATGTTTGGAAGAGAGGTAATGAAGTTTTGAATGTTCAAGAGCCATTGGTTAGGGTGTTAAGGTTAGTAGTTGGAGATGAGAAACCTACAATGGGTTTTATATATGAAGCAATGGATCAAGCAAAGTTGGCTATTTTAAAAGATTCTCGATATTGGATTGATCATCCTAAGTGGACACTTCATTCCCAGCCGGTGGACAGTTGGAAATAGTTCTTCCTCTTTATCCACCGATGCAGCAACAACCCACCTCAGATCACGCCTCGACTTCCATACATCCCATGGCCACTCAGAGCAAGGTCCACCCATGGTTCTGAATAATGGTAACGGTGTAACGAATGCGGGGTGAAACAGGCGTTACGTAACGGTAACGAGAACCGAATGCATAATTTTTTTTTTCAACTCACAACCTCCTATAGAAGATTTACGTGTTTTAACTTAAAATCATGCAAATATGGGTGTTTAGTGATTTAGTGTATTTTATTGTATCCTAAACATGATAATCAAATATCATTAGTATTAATAATATTTCTTAAGTCTCTATGCATCAGTGACCTTTCCATTAGCAACAATTAAACAAATGAAAGGCACAATTACAAATGTAACAATTTATTAAATGAAACTTATTGATAGAACCAACATGATTTTTAGAATTGTACAATACAATAAAAAAGAGAAAGTAATAGCATTACCTTTCAACAATCTCACCACCAAAGAGAACGACACGGAGGATCCAAAAAGTGAGATTGAGATTGAGATTGATGTTGGCTACTTCCACTGTCATCATTCCATCCTGCGGGCAACATATAAGTAAATGTTCCAAATTCAACTCCATCTTGTCGTGGCTGCTCTCCATATGTATGCAATTTCAAATAATTGTTAGGGTTCAAAAACCATAAAGAATTATCTGGGGGATGTAAAGGTGGAGGGTAGGGTCTATAATTTCCAGTTGGATAGCTTGATGAGTCGTAGTTTTCATTACCACTACCAAATGATGAATCACTAAGGGTGAAATCACTCAAACTTTGCAAACACTAGACGAGGAATCTTCATATTCATACCAATTTCTCGTATTTCTGCTTGATTTATTTCCACATCATGATTGTTGACCATAAACTTATGGATCAACTCTAACCGCACTAAGTCCATGATTCCCATGAAATGGTGAATCATGACAATGACCACTAGTATCACCCTGAGCTGGAAGACTACCTCACAATTATAACCATAAATTTGGGTTAGACTAGCAACCCGATGACCCCCATCACCATCATCATCATCACCACCACCACCGCCATCATCATCATTGCCACTACCACCATCATTATCGCTTTTAGTCGAAGCAGGACTAGAATCAGAGTCTTGGTTATCAAGTGACTCAGAAAGAGGTATGCATTCATTATCATCATCTTCATCAAAAGAATTCGTCCAAGAGCGAGTTTCCTTATCCAAGTGAATCAATGGTTCTTCCCTTTCTTCTAACCATGGATTCAGGGGATCATCTTTATGAAATATGTAATCCAAATTGATAGGATTAAATCTATTCTCAATCTCTTACTAGTTTTTTTCCACAGTATGCCTAATTTTCAAGTTCATGTTATAGTGAATGAAAACAAGCTTTTGGAGTTTAAAATATTTCAACATGTTTCTCATCTTGGTGTGAATAAGACTCCATGTGCTCCAATTACACTCACAACCAGAAGACGAAGTTGGCTGACTTAGTACCTTAACTGCTATACTTTGAAGCTCAGGAGCACATGAGCCATAAAGAATCCACCATTAAGCGGCATGAAATAAATTTTGATGAATTCACAAATGAATAAATATACATTGACTACATAATATAAATTGCAACTTAACTTACCATGATTTGTTTTGTTAATTGCTGCTTCCGCAATATTTGATCCGAATGTTTCTGCTTTATCCTGAAATAAAAATATCTACATACATTATAATTGTGAAACAACGTGTATTAGATAACAGGTCATTCAAATAATAAATAAAATTGTAAGTAAACAAGCACTACATACCTGATTTATTGCCTTAATCTGACATTCAATGTTCGGCTCCAATCTTTGTATTACTTTTTGCGTTCCATCCATTGTTTCTCAAAACGTCTCCCTAGAGCTGGTAGTAGTATACTGGAATTGTGGATTCAAGAA